ACAGAGGGGTAGATGATTTGTCCTTATAGGAAAAATCTATTCTAGATTTGGATTTGTTTCCCTTACCTGTCAGACCCCTGCTGGAATCTTGCTAAAGGCCTCAAACACTATTATGGGATCTCACAGAACACTGCTTCTACCAGAGGACTCCCAGTGAGAGGAGTGTGGTGATAGGCCAGTGCCCACAAATGGCATTAGCTTTCTCGTTTACATCACCCAGAAGCATGGAATCATATCAAACTGCATAATGGCTTAATTAAAACCAAGTTACGGAGGCGGCTTGGGGACACATCTTGAAGTTGTGACGCTGTCCTGGACAGGGTGAGCGATTGATATGGAGATGTTCGCCCTTAGCCAGAATATATGGATCCAGAAACAAACAGTAAACACAAGGTTTATTTCTTATGGTTATTTAGTAATACATTTGAAAAATATTTTATTCCCAGCCACAAACTCTGCTCCATCAAAACTGAATTTATTCCCCCGAAGGAGAAGTACTTCCACCAGAATTCCCAGGTTTGGCCCTACTCAGACCCAAGGCAGCCACCGTAGCCTCCTGTGCGCTGGAAAGATGAGCACCCAGGAAGCCATGGATGTCCTGCGGTCATTGCCACCACTCTTCCTCAATGGAACTAAGGCAACAAACTTCAAATCAGTCTCCCTTCTTCTGCCTTTTCTCCCCAAGCTGTACTTTCTCTCTAAAGTGTAAGTCAGAGCATATCACTCCCCTGCTGGCAATGGCTTCTCATTTCACTTAGAATAACCCCAGTTCCTTCTGGGGACCTTCAATGTCCTTTCTGTCTACCCACAATCTCCTCTCCTGCCCTTGTTACATGTGCTCCAGCCACTCAGGCCTTCTCGCTGACCCTCAGACACATCATGTTCCTGCCTGTCTTTGGGCATGTGATGTTCCTTCCACTGGGACCTCTCCTCCCTCAGACCATTACCTTCTGCTCACCCTTCAAGTCTGCACTCCAACGTCACCCCCTTAGAGAATCAAGTTGCCCTCTGCCACCCCGCTCCCACTCACTCTCCAGCACATGACCCACATTCCTCTTCTTCAAAGCAATCAGATCCTGAGATAATCCTATTGATTGACTTATTGAATCTGTTTCAATGCTACAATGTAAACTTTTTGTGATGCTTTTTTCTTTGCTGGATTCCAAATGGTAAAAACAGTACCTGGCTCATAGTTGGTGCTCCACACATTTTTGTTGACTGATTTTTGATTAACTAAGTGAGGGGAGAAAAGGAGACTGGCAACTCTAAGCAAGCAGGACCACTAATAGCTCAGACATCTATGGAGTAAAGGTTTGGACCACCCCAGCTGGCAAAGCGTAGTACCAGGTAAAGTGCGAGGGGAGCACGCAGGGCAGGGAGGTGAGCACAGTCACAAGTGGCGCATATGGCCTTGCAACCAGAGGCAGGAGAGAAATTTCCTTCTATGGTTCTATGTATGTCTGCATACTATTTATTTATTCTCTATTTCCTCTACTTCCCTACCTCTTTCTGTTATGCTAAGGGTGTGTTGCTTAAATTGACCTCTGGGTATAAAAATTAAAAAGGCATTGCAATAGAAGTGGACAAGGTGTGGCTATTACTCAGGGGCCCAGACTTGGAGATGTTTGCAGTAACTGATGAGCCTTTGGTTGTTTCCCCTGAGAGGAGAGGGTTTTTAATTACACAGGGAACAGATGCATCGTGTTAGAATAGTACTCTTTTAAAAATGAATACTCTCTACCCTGCTTCATTTTTTTCTTTTTAGTACTACCTGCCGTGTTATAGAGTTACTGGTTAATTTATTACCCCCTCACTAGAATGGAAGCGGTTTAAAGAACTTTGTTTTGTTCACTGCTGTCACCTGGGAAAGGTATGCACTCAATAGTTATTAAATGTAGAAATGAACAAATGGAGGGCTGGTTCAGAATCTATTTCTAACACCACCTGCGTTTTCTTTGGGGAAATGACCTCCTTTCCACTCCACTGTGTTCCACCTTAGTGGACAGGGACTCCATGTGCCTGCCTCCTAATACAAAAGGCTAGGGGTCCCGGAAGGCACCCAATGCCTTCTCCATTTCAGTGCCACCAACTGGTGGACATGTCACTAAGCTTTGAGAGTTGAATCCTCTATCCAGGAACTTGACTGAGTGACAGGAGGACAGAAGGAGTGGTTGGCCTTCACACATTCCCAGGGGTAGCACTATGGCCAGTATTCCTGCTACATGCCTGCCTTGGCTCCTTCCCTGTGGTTCCTTGGTTCCCAGAGGGGACCCTGACTGCCATCCATTTCCTACATTGGCTCTCCAAGCTGTCTATCAATTTTGGGAACACCTGACACCCTTCTGTTAAATTTTCTTTTTGCTTAAACTACTCATTTGTTGCCTCAACAAAACACTAAAATCAAAACAAAACAAAACAAAACACTTACAGAAAAAGTACAGAAATAAGCAGTTTGTATATGTATAGTGTTGGAGGGGAAATCACCTACAGCCCACAGAAGGAATCAACCCTGCCAACATCTTTATCTGGCTTCCGGCTCCAGAACTGGAGACAATACGTTTCTATTGTTTGTGGTACTCTGTTATGGCAGCTCTTGCAAACACACACACATATATATATGTATATATATGATTTTATTTCCAATTGTTTTCTCCCTTTAAAATTATAGCAGTCCTTTTCCATGCTGTTCCTTGGTTTTCCTAATTATGCTATAAACTGTTTTGAAGTAGTGACCCACCTATGACTCCAACTCCACAGTCCACTGTGACTGGACGCTGGCACTGCTCAACTTTTTGCGATCACAAATAACACACCATTGTGAAGACCATCTTGTGTATGTAGCTTTTCTCTCCTTTTGGATAACTTTCTTGAAATATATCACTAGAAGCCAATGACGATCAGAGAATGAACATGAGACCTGTGGCTAAAGTACTCTGCAGAAGTATGACAATGAATTTATTCTGTTGCCAAGGGTAGACAGGGAATGAGTTTTGAATTTTAAATGGAAAGAATGCTGACATATGGTAAAGGAATGGAAGGAAATTCTAGGTGAGCTTGAGCAAAGGCGCGTGAGAGGCTGGAGTGGATGGTGGGAATACCGAATGGTAAGCACGGGCACGAGAAGGCAGAGAAACAGATGGAACGTTAGACTGGGCCTGGAGAAACCTGTAAACTTGTTTAGGGAATTAGGACTTTATTCTAATGATGATGGGGAAAGTTTGCAAGGATATCAAAGTAGGAGCTGAACATGAACACTAACTCTGACTAGAGCGTATAAAAGCCCAGCCCAAGAAAGTGATTGGGGAGGGCAGCTGCTGAGAGCAAGGGTTGAGTAGCCTGAGAAGCAGGGGGATGCTGAGGACCAGACCTAGTGACCACGGATGAGGGGAGTAATGATTCCAAGGTGTTCAGCCCACTCCCTGGAGAGAATGACAAAGGCATCAATGACGGGAGGAGCCACAGGCATGTTTCCTAGAAACAGGCTCTTTCTTGGACATCTGTGCTTGAGATGATTGCAAGTTTCCTCAACCCCTAGCTGCCATCTAATTTCTCTTTGCTTTTTGCTGTCTGATGAAAGAGTCTAGCCTTGATCCCTCCTAATATATGTGACACAAGTTAGAAACCAGGCCAACATACTTAAGGGCGGTAACACTTCCTTCCACTTCACCAATTCTCTAACCCCTGGCACGCTGGCCCTCCCAGGACAACTCCTCAACAGTTTCTGTGTCAGAATCCAATAGTGACCTTCTTGAGGCTGTCGTTAGGTGATTCCACACCTCCTTGCTCTCTTCCCCTCTGACCCATCCTGGTTCCCCTCCTCTCCTGCAATCTAAGTGTTCTCCAAGTACACCTCTTGGNGACCCATCCTGGTTCCCCTCCTCTCCTGCAATCTAAGTGTTCTCCAAGTAACACCCTTAGCCTCTTCCAAGCCTTTTGAAAAACCATTACTTAAATCTCCCCACTTCTTACAGCTTCAATCACCAGCACCATGGGGAGAACTTGCCCCCACGGTGGGTGGGTTAGCGGCAGTGCTGGAACCAGAGCCCAGGCCTAGGCCACTGCCTCCTACCACAGGTTCACCACTCTCATGCTCACCACAGACATTCATTTTTAAAAATGAAACAGTAAACCCAGCAATTGAAGCTATGATCATCAATAGCCTGCTGCATTTCTTAAAACAGCATAGTTCAATGGTTAAAACATGGGCCTTGCTATTGAAAATTCTATTTGACTGGAGGTTTAAATTCCATTTCTGCCACTTGCTGGGTAAGTGATTCAGGGCAGTTTACCTATTTATCCCCAGGCTTTTATCTGTAAACGGAGGAAAATGATGGTATCCACCACAGCACAGAGCTAAAGAGATCACATGCGTGAAAACATCAGAGCACACAGGATGCTGTCTGCCTTATGGTGAGTGCTCGACAAAAATGGGCTCTTACTCTTGCCCAGTGACTGCCAGGACCAGGCTGCTACCCACCCAGCTGGCTGACACTGACATAAATGTTGGTATAGGGGAAGACTGTCTTTTTTAGGAGTTTAAACACCATTCCCAAAAAATGGGATATGATTTCAAATCAACAAGATGGTACATTAACTACTATATTAGATAACATTTCCTTGGTGTTCAAAATAGCATTTGTGAATCTTAAATACCCAGAAAGAGCTTGGAAAAGGTCAAGGCGAATCCCTAGGGCTGCATTCTCAGTCAGTTCTCTACCTGCAAAGACACTTAGGTACACAGACACCACAAGAAAACTTCTCATACTCAAGGCCACTGTAATGACACAGAGCACCCAGACAGCACCCACCCTGGACAGCCGATGACAAACCCAGCTCCTGAGATGAGCTTTCCTCACTGTCAGGCAAACACCACCCTTGTCCAGAGATAGGTGGAAGGGTACGCAGTCAACTGGGTTATTTCGGTTTAACTAGAGTCAAAGTGAGGGTTTCGCACCAGTTTCTGAAGAGGAAGACCCCGAAAAGGGGCCTGTAAGACTTACCATTGGATGCTCGCATCTGCCGCCGCCGTCCCACGCGGTCCAGCCCAATGGGGGTGCTCTGGGAAAACGTGAATGGCCGGAATCGGGCTGAAACCGCTTTGTAGGGCGGCACCTGGTGAGCTGGCACGGGAGGCCTGGCTGCTGGCTACAAAAGGAAAGCAAGAGGCTGTGAGACGGTGCCAGGAAGTGGCAGCTCCTACAAGCTCTTCACAACCACAGCTGCAAGGAGCTCAGCGTTCTCACCTCCAAGCTACTCACAGATGTGACATGGTTTCTCCAAAGCGTGTCAAAAGCTTCCGCTGCACTGAGGCTCAAAGCAATGAATTATTTTGAGGTTTAAAAAAATCAGTATCAGCCCACTGGCTCCTATTTCACACCATAACGTTTCATCTTATCTGTCAGCGACATACCAATAGCAACATTCAGTCAAAGCAAAGTGTTAGCTAAGAAAAGGAAAAGCAAATTTAGGAAGTGGTGGCCTTCTTAGAGATGCAGGGTCACAAGGTTAAGAAGATGTGTTCCCAGCAGCAGCCTCCAGAGAAAGCAAAATCAGTGCCAAAGACCACGGACAGGGTGACCAAATGTGGCCCAGCTACTTACTTCTGTCTCCTACTCATCCACACACAGGCACCAGCTAAGTACTTGTGAAATACAATTCTAGTTTCCCTAAACTATCAAGACAACTGAGCTTTGTTTAAAAGAGCTGGCTTTCTGAAAATTTACCCTGGTCTATAGGATCATTTCTATGCCCTTTTGATTTTCCATAGTAACAGTCTCTGTAACTGCATCAAAGGCCAAGCTGGTTGGTACTTTCCTTAGGTTTTCCACCTAGTCCCCTAAATGAGCTTACCATGCAGAAAGTTACAGTTATCTGACTATATTCCTTTTTGATGCTCTAGTGTGAAACAATTTCTAAGTGCTTTAGATTTTTCCTATACTGTGTTTTTGAATTAAGAGATTATAGTTTGCTTTAGTTTGGAATTATTTCCCAGCATGTAGAGCATCTTAACACAAGAAAAAGTTTGTGGTATTCTTCAACTAATTTTGATTTTACCTTAAGAATTCAATTTAATTTAATTCAGTTAAGCAAGAGAGTTTTGAATGCTTGCTGTATACACAAGGCGCTGTGCGGGGCTTTACAGGCAGAATGCAAACATAAAATCTGTCCCAACATAGATTTCTCCTTTAAGAGAATTTTACAGGTTATGATATCAGCTAGCAAGTTTACAGTAAGAAATTGGCGACTTACTCATGTTCTGTTCTGAACCTTGGATGTGGGGTGTTTGCCTTGCTAAATAACAGAAACTCCTCCTGAACAGCGCCCTAATTTAAATGTTTCGTATCCTCAAAGAGCTCTTTGGGTAACTCATAAATACTTGCTGAATTACTACATTATACTAAGGGAATGATAATAAGATTTTAATTATTGTCAAAGTAGTTGCAAAGCTGCAACTCAGAAGCAAGAAAATGGTGGAAAAAATTATTTCCTTATCTCCTAAAAAAATAGGCTTCTTTATTCTCTTCTTATCTGTACATGTTAACAATGGGTGATGCTGTCTCTTTCAAGAATTTCTTCTGTCAGGAAGCTCACTAAATACGCACTGTTACTTTCCCCTTGTTCACATCTCAGATGATTTAGAACAAAGAGCAAACTATTGTCACATATCGTTCAAGATGCCAGCAAAGACAGATTAGTAAAACACATCCAAAGGTCAGATGATTAGTTCTAGTACACGCAGCTTGCAAAGTAGGAGGAAAGGTGGTGAGCAGAGTCCTTGAGTCAGACAAGGAAGGAAAGCAGCATCCCCTTTAGTTTGCAGGGAGAACAAAGGCCAGGGAGTGGAGGGCACTGCTGGCTTTGGTAGACGCACACCAGATCTTACTTGGGTTAGAAGATTCTCTATTGCTTCTGTCTGGCTGTTCCCATAGAAGCTGACCCCACCTATCACAGAGATGGGGCGTCTTCTCTGGCCTCCTTTGGGGCAGCCCATGGCAGCATTCTGGTCTGCAGGGACTGTGGAGGCCATGCTCAGCTGGTGGTCACTGTCCACAATGTCCTCCTTCTGGGGGTCCACAGCAATTGAGTCTTCAGGAATAGACAAACTTCGGCTGGCAAACTGGCCATAGTCTGAGAGTGGTCGAGGCCTTGACCTTTTCCCAGAGCTCCATCTCCTCTTGGAGATCCTCTGAGCCTCTGTCCTGTCTTCCTCCAGGGATGAGCCCCGCCTCCAGGATTCTTCAGTAACAACCTTTTCAAATTCCAACAAGTTAGGTGAGTGCCAGTATCCAGGAAGGTATTAAAAAAGAATGTGCTACACATTCCGTTCCACCCACCCTCAGCTCTGCCACCAGGCTTTCCAGATTTACTTGTTTATTTATTTATTTAAATATATCTTTATTGATTCAGAGAGAAGAAGGGGGGGGAGAGAGAGAGGGAGAGAGAGAAACATCAATGATGAGAGAAAGTCATTGATCGGCTGCCTCCTGCATGCCCCCTGCTGGGAATTGAGCCCGATCTCCTGGATCCTAGGTCAATGCTCAACCACTGAGCCATGCCTGGCTGGGGTACTTGTTTATTTTTAAGTTTTATGTGTAACAGACATAACTGAAATGTGGATTAAAATAAGCAAATCTATCTTTAATTGGAGGTTGAATTAAAACTAATTTAAATAGTGATGTTTGGTGACTAATGAATCCTGATAAAAGATATTTTAAAAATATTAAGAGTTAATAAAAAGAACTTCTAAGTATGGTAGGGGTGTCACCCAAAATATATATAACAATAATGTGGGGAAAGGCAGGTATGCCAGTAGAAGAATGCAGGTGTAATGCTGCCCATTACTACTCTAAGGTATTGTTTTGCAATAATGTTTAAAAATAGAAGGTGCTTTCAGGAGACTAAGTCTAGGTTGCTAGGGAAGGAGGGGAAAGCATTGAACTAGGATTTAAAGAACCAGATCAGGCTACTAACTAGCTCTGTGAGCTGGGACAAGTCACAACTGACCTTTCAGGAATCTCAGATTTCAGAGTAGACAATACCACAGCTGGAGAGTCTATGATCCTAAATTAGGCAATACATTCTAATTTTTTAAGTAACTTTTTCAGAGGCAATGCAATGTGCTAGGAAAAAAAGCCATGAGGTTTGAAAATGAACAGACTTCTGTGTAAGATTGGGCCCCAGCTACTTTGTAACCTCAGGCAAGTTACTTAACTTATGTGGATTGGGTTATGTAACTGTTCACGAGGGAAAATGGGTCCTAGTGAGGATAATATACTACAATAGTTAAGATAGCCCTTATCGGCCATAGTTAATTATTACTCTTGAAAAGTACTGCCTTAGAATTACATCCCCTGATTTGCCCTGCCTGGAGATAAGCTCTATCTCACAGACCCCTCAGAGTCTGGTCTCAGAGCTCTCTGGGATGGAGCAGAGAGAGGGGTTGGCCGAAGTCTACTGCAGGCACAGTCACATGCCTGGGAGCCTTGGGGCCTTCAGTGCTTCCATCACTATACATTATTTAAAAATGCAAAAAAAACCCATAACCAGGTACGGGAAGGGAACTAAATTAACCAGAAACTCTTGTGATTGCAGGACGGAGATGGCCAACAGAGCTGATGTGACATCCCCTGGAGGACCAGCCCCACCCTGCCCATCAGCACTGCTGGCTCAAGGAGTCCCACCTCTTGCCAATTGGTGGCAACTGAGACCTCAAATGCAGACCCCGTAATTTCCGATCTGATGTACCCAAGCATTCCCTAGGATCACGTACCATGAAAAATGTGATGAAGAGCAAAGGAAGCAGGAAAGGATTACAGATACCCTACTCCATGCCCATCATTTCTCAAATTAGGAAAACTGCGACCTATAGAAGTAAAGTGACTTCCTCAGGGCCACCAGCCATTTAGCAGCAACAGAGACACTGAAATGTGGGTCTCGCAATTTCTGTTCCCACTATACCACGAAATTTTCCCACTATATCAAGTCACCTCTGCTCAAAGGAAATGGGTTCCAGCAATCACCAGTGACCTTGCTGTCTACTGACTCTACTGCCTGGAACGCTCCCTTTTTTAAGTCACCACTGAAGGGATCCAGAATACAGTGCTGTGGCCTAGACTGTTTTGAGCTGCAGGTAGTTAAGAATGAGCTTTTCTCCTGAACTTGCTCATCTGCCTGAAAGCAGGGCCTCCCAGAAGAATTTAGTGGTCATGCAGCTGCTCCCCTGGGACAGAATTTCTTTCTTCCAACCAGGAAAGATGGACTCTTACAGCTGCAGAGAAAAGGCCCTCACCTATAGACATGGTCACAAAACCATCCTGTTTCCCACCTGTTCTTCTCAGGCCCACTTATCTGTCCTAAAAGTCCCTTGTTTTCCCATGGGCACCCTTCTCCCTCATTGAGATGGTCTATAAAGCCCCAATTCAAACCACTTCCTGGAGTCACACTTTTTTGTTAACCCCACTTACCTACATGAATAAAATTTATCTTTTCTCTTGCAAATTTGTGTCCTGTCAACTTTAATTCTCACCCGTAAGCATAAACCTGAGGGTAGAGGAAAAGTTTTTCCTCTGTACCACCACCCTGGGAAAGTATAAGAGAAATCACAGAAAAGTTAATATTATTTTAAATACCATATCGAATGGCACAGACAACTTAAGCACGCATTGAGACTAAACCCATTTATACTATCACCCTGTGATAAAAAGGTTCAGAAAGACTGTGCTAGAAAAACAGAAGTACAACAAAATTATAGGCAATGAGTAGTCTGGTCACACATCTACATGTGGTTTTGTTTGCACTTATACAACATGCATCTGCCTTTCCTCACTGATGCCGAAAAGAAAGTAAGAAAAGGGGCTTAGGAAAACAAGAAGCTGTTTTAGCTGTTCAGGTACTGAATCCTTCTGAGACCAAAACACAGTCCAGGAAGTGATGGAGGCCATGAGAGCAGGGAATTAGAGGGCAGGAGGTGGCTGGTGCTGGCTTCATTCCCATCACGTCAGGCCTCAGTGTCAGCCACTGTCCTGCATGGGAGCTCCCCCCCCAACCTACTTACTTATACAGCCCCACTGAGGACATACAAGGAGAAACACCCCCTCCAAGTGGTACCAAATGTTCTAGGAACTGCAAAACTTATTTAACAGAATAATATATAAAACTGAAATGTCCTTTTTACTCCTAGCAAAAGTACTGAGAGAGGGAAGAAGGGAGGGAGCAACGTGAAGTCCCTCAGCCCTCAATGTTAAGTTCACATTCAAACAGGGATCCTTGGCCAGAAGTGACTTACATACCTTATAGAACAAATCTAAACTCTGATGCATATTCCCAGACTAAATCTTCTTTTAGCAAAGTTTACCTACTTTCGAAATACAACCTACGTTCATCCTGGGGAACGCACATGGAGTGTGGCTACACCTGGAACTGCGAACCCAGCACCAACAAACAACATTCTCCAACCAGCCATAACCTACCCCGGACTCGGCTGAAGGTGGGGGCGGCCCACAGACACACTGAAGGAGCAAGCAGTTGACCACATCCATGCTCTCTGAGACTTCTTCTTGCCTTTAAGACACGCCAACCAGGGGTGTAAGTGGCCAGAGCTCTGCTTGGTCAGCTTCTTCTCACAGGTCAGCAGCCTGAGCTTCAGCTCAATCCAGGGCTCTCTAAGCTTGAATGGCCAATTCACACCCCAGTCATAAACTTTTGTAAACAGACTTTTCAGTGGACTGGCGGCTCTTTTAACTCTTGCGTCTCAGTACATTTTTAAAGTACTTTCTCTAGACAGGGGAAACTACATCTTTTCTTCCCATACAAGATTCCTTTCTTTACAAAAGTATAAAACCAAGATCGATCTCATTACCTCCAATTAGACATTTCAAAACATTTTTTAAAACCAAGGCGAGATTAAATTACTACCTGGAGGAAAAAAGAAAGAAGCCCACACACAAAAATGGATGTCGCATATGTCCATTCAGAAGCCTGATCTTAAGTAAGTATATGGGGTCCATTTGCAAGTGCTGAGGATTGAATTGCATCCTCCTATAAGATATGTGAAGTCCTGACCAGTGATCGTGTTTGGAAATACAGTACTTGCAGATGCACTGAGTTAAGATGAGGTCATACTGGATTTGATGGGCCCTACTCCAATGGCTGGTGTCATAGAGAAAGAGGGAAATCTGACACAGATTTATAGGACGCCCAAGATTCTCCCCTAGGGTCTTAGAGGGAGCTTAGCCCTGCCCACACCTGATTTCAGACTTCTGGCCTGTATAATAAAGAGAACAAATGCTTTGAGTCACCTAGTTTGTGGTAATTTGTTACAGTAGCTCAAGGAAACTAACATAGCAAGGTAATTCAGAAGAAAATATTATAGGCAAAGAAATTAAGATGCTTTGTGTAGATTAAAGAAAAAAAACCCTGAAGCAAAGAGGCTTTCCTTTGAACAAGCAAAGGTACTTTCAAGATACTACTACTAATAATACGTAAGCCTCCTAGGTTTCCCAGGTATTCAGAATCCTGGGTACTGTAGGGAGGACAGGTACAGTCATGGAGCTGGAGGGGAGAAGGGAAAATTTGACAATGTTACAGAGGACTGCTACAATGAAACTAATGAAAAACTATGACTATACCAAGCACATGTTATCTTATTTAACCTCCATAACAGCCTTAGGGGGCATATTTGCCACTTTTTATAGTTTAAGACATTGAGGTTAAAATAAGTAAAATTACTCACTTAGGTTAATAGAGCCAGAAAGGGGAAGGGCCCATTTTACAACCAGTTCATCTCATTTCAAAATCTGTCCTTTCCACTTTGCAGCCCTGCATCCTTGGCACAGACTCTTTTTTTTTCCAAAATTAAAACAAATGTATTTCTTTTTTTATAATTAAAGTATAGTTCATATATAATATTATATTAGTTTCACATGTACAGTATAGTTATTCGACATTTAAATACCTTACGATGTGATCACCATGATAAATCTAGTAGTATCGATCTGTCACCATACAAAATTATTATGCTTTAATTAACTATATTCCCTGTGCTGTACCTTATATCCCTGTGACTTATTTGTTTTGTAACTGGAAGTCTGTACCTCTTATTCCCCTTCACCTTTTTCACCCACCTCCCATCCCCCAACCTCTCTCCTCTCTGGCCAGTTTACAGAGGAAAACAGAACTTTCCCTTCTCCCCTCCAGCTCTATGCCCTGAGCTATAGACTTGCTTGGAGGGAGGAGAGAAGCAACAAGCAG